TGGGCAGCCTTGTCTTACCCCATGTTTAAGGGTTACTTTTCTAGAAAGATAGTCGTTGTTGCTAATTTTGCAAGAAACATCTGTATACATGGTTTTCACAAAACACATGAATTTTGAGGCCAAAACTCATTCTCTCCAAGACTTTTAGAAGAAAGTCCCAGTTGACACGGTCAAAAGCTTTTTCTTGGTCAATTTTAATCAATGCAAGGGGGAGTTTTTTCTCCTGGCAGTAATCAAAAGAATCTCTTGGCAGGATGAGATTTTCAAAAATAGATCTGCCTGGTACAGAGCAAGTTTGGTCACTATTCAAAATGGATGGAAGTATCGATTGCAGTCTATTTGCAAAGGCTTTCAAGCCTATTTTGTAATCAACATTAAGTAGGGAAATTGGTCTCCATTTTTTGAGGAGTTCAATGTCTCCCTTTTTGTACAAAAGGGAGATTATAGCTAAACGCATGGATTCTGTGAGAAGGCCTCCATTGAAACAAAAGTTTAGTACTTCTACTAAGGCTTCGCCAATTTCATCCCAGAAGAAAATATAAAATTCTGCTGGTAGCCCATCAGAGCCGGGCGATTTGTCGGATTTCATGTTGGTGAGGGCTTTGTGACTTTGGTCTGCGGAAAGTGGTTCTTCAAGTAACAATTTAAAGTTTTCGGGGACAAAACAATCAATAGTATTCAAAAGGGCATTCTGTTTTTCATTATTAATGGGTTCCGGGGAATAGAGTGATTCATAGAAGTTAGCAATGCAGCCAAGCAGGTCCCTACTTTCCTGTATTACCCTACCATCAGGTGTTTTAAACTTACGGATCACTTTATTAAACTGACGTGAATTTTCAAGGCTGAAAAAATAGCGTGAAGATTTCTCATTGGATTGGTTTTCAAGGGCTTTTGCACCATTAATATTATTAAGATCGAGTTCTTCCATTTTTTTGTCTAATCAAGGAAACAGTTTCTTTTCCCTTTTGATCCAGAGAAATTGTTTCCCGTTGGAGCTTTTCCTCCAAAGTGGTGCGCTTCTCTCTCTTTTCTTTTGCTAAGCGTTTAGAAAACTTTTTGCATCTGTTTCTTATTTTCATTTTACCAATATCCCACCAAATGTGTAGTTTGCCTGCGAAGTCTTTTTTGCGAGTAATCCAAAATTTCAAAAAATGTTTCATATTAGAGGTAAATTCTTTATTTTCTAGGAGGCTAGTATTGAATTTCCAGGTACCTCTGCCACCGGGTTGCGAATTTGGCAGTTTAAAGGACAGAAACGGGGCATCATGGTCGGAAAAGGGGAACACTGTTATCTCACAGTGTTTGGTATTGGCCAAAATTTCAGAAGAAACGTAGAACTTCTATTGTCTAGATAATACTTTTGAATTTGTCCAGGTAAACTTGCGGGTAGAAGGGTGCATTGAGCGAAATATATGGATAAGGTTAAAGTCCCTGAGAAGGTCATTGAGAGCTTTTATGGCAGTGGGACCTGCTTGGCTGTCACCGCCTAGTTTATCGAGAAAAAGGTTAGTGATACAATTAAAGTCACCTCCGATGATTGTTGGAACTGCCCCCCTGATGTGAGGGCGCAGCGTTTGAAAAAAAGCAGCTCTTTCTCCTATGGGGCAGTGGTAACACCTCTGCTAGTGGTGACACCTTTGTTTGCTATGTGGTAACATCCTTTCCAGATGGTTTTAAGAAAGGATGTTACTACATAGCAGCCTCAGAGAAGTAAGTTTCTTGCAAAAAGAATATGGATTCCTTCCTAGTTTTAAGCCAGTCCACTACATTTGAGTATTTAAGCGGGTCCCTAAGTCCATGAACATTTATTGATAATATATCAATGTCTGCCATTCCTCACAGCGGGAGGGGAGTTCCAAAATCATTGGCATTAAGAGGGGGCAGGGTGCCGAGCTGAACGACCCTTCGGCTTCTTCTTGGTAGAGGGCCTCCGGACAGCAGAAATGTCAGAGACACTGTTGTCCTGGAAGGACCTCTTAGAAGCCGCTGGGGTGCCAGCATAGGCAGAGGATTTGGTAAAAATAGGCTGGGGAGAAAAGAAAGTCAGAGAAGGGCACATACCATCTGGTGAAGGCGTTGCTGGATCATACCAGTTCTTCACTGCTTGGCCGTTTTCGTCTTGAGTAGTGGAGTCCTGGGTACTAGCTGACTCCTCGGGAGCAGCGATTTGGTGATTATTGGTACCCATGTCATCACCCGACGATGAGCAAACATGGGTAACGGCTGTCTCCTCTGGGGCCAGATCAGCACCAGCACTCCCAGCTGTGCATTCTGTGTGTTCAAACCAGTTTGGTGACTGTTCCGCATTGTCCAAATCTTGAGTGGCAACGGTTGGGCAATCAGAGAGGGTTGGATCGTGAGGAATGGCTGCATTCTTATTTGCCACAGCGGTACTGACAGCTCCATCATTATGCTCCTCCTCACTGCTGTAGCCTTCTGACAGGGTGTGGTCAGATGTGGGCTTGTGCGCATCACTGTCTGCTTCAGGAACCCAAGTGGCATCACACTGAACAATGTTGTGCTCAAGTGATCTGCCACCCTGACAGCGACTGTCTTTGGGACAGTCAGCATTAATATGTCCTGTTAAGCCACAGTTGTAGCACCTTTTGATGCTGCATTGAGCAGCAATGTGGCCACAGCTGTCGCATTTGCGGCATGACTGGGGTTGGCCATAGTGGCGTACCGCTAAACAGTATGCGCCTAGGTGTACAAAACTTGGCACAGGTTCACTAATTACCATTTTAAATATCAAGTCACCATTAAGTAAGCCTGTATCAGGGCCTATGTTTTCCCTGGCAAACAGGACGCGAATACTCTTACCCAGACTTGTGGTGGATTTTACATGTTGGGTTGCCAGCTTCTCCTGGGCAGATGGACATTGGGCAGGCTAAAAAACTTTTATTTTTCTTCCAGAGACTTGAATGTCAACTCCAGGTGACCATTCAGTAGTTTCTGGAGGTGGGTGGGCCTGATGTCATGCTCAGCAAGGCGGTTGACAAGTGCAGAGGGAACAATAGTTGCATTCGGAGTGTGAACACACACTGACCTCGGTCTTCGTCTTCCATTAGGCAGGTTTTCTCTAAGGCCAACCGACCTACCAACGAAGATCTCTAAGATTGAGGCTGCTGCTGCTTGCGATGCGTAGCTGGTAGGCAACGATCCAAGGGGTGCTGTCGATGTTGTATGGTCGGTAGGGTGCTGTCGTTACTGGTACTAAAGGTAAATTTTTTCTCAATCTTTTCTGGTGCTGTGGTAGTCTTTCCTTCTCTGTGGCTTCGTCAGTTGTCTCTCCATCGCTTGTGGAGTCTTGCTCAAAATGGCCTGTAATTCGTGCAACGCTTGAGGGAGCAGAGCCCTTTGTGACACTTGTGGGACCTTGATCTCGGCTCCTATATGGAGCCAACCTCTCGGCCATGGTTTCCCCTCAAAAGAGTTATAGACACCGCTTGTAGAGACTCTATAGCTCAGACTCTCCACAAGTCTGCCTCGTTGCTTGCGGAGCGCTCAGTTTTTTTGCCTGTTGCCTGCCTGCTTCTTCACTCCAGTAGCAAAGTAATCAATGTGTGGATGTTGAAGAATGTTGTCGAGGTGAGTGAGTTAGTGAATGAGTTATTCCGCTTCACATGGCCACTCAGCAGCATCCAGCAGCAGTTGTGAGCTGCGACAGCAGGGAAAGGCACTTTCTTCAAAAAAGTATGGCTTGAGTGTTGCTCCGTGTTGTTGTGCTTACTCACTAGTTATTCATGAACGAGCCTCCCCATGACCCAGGAGGCAAAAAGACAACTGGACTATCATTGGGAAGAAAATTAAACTTAACTTTCAGCTTCCCTTGTGGCGGTCGGTTTGGAGAATGGGAATTGAACAATCCCTGAAAGCCCAGCTTATTGAAGCTTACGTCCCAAAAATCAATATTTTGAATTTTATGTTGCAAAAATTGCAAAAACATTCAGAATGGGTATTGGGGAGGGGGAGGGGTGGTTGCCGAGAATTCCAACAATTAGAACAAACCATGAAACCATGTGAGGGAAACAGAAACAAAACTCTGTTTTGCAATCATCCCTACAAATGGCTGTTAGAATGATTTTAGAAAAAGTATTTGATTTGGAATTGTGAAAAATAGGCCATGCAGATTTCCATAGGCCCAAGAATCTTCTTGCAATAATACAGTAATCCTTGCCTCAATTTCTCCTTGAATTGTTCTGACTTTCACTTTGTCAATTGATTTTACCAAGTTTCTAATTCTCAATTGCTAAGTGACACTATGACGCTCTTATCATTGCTTCTTGATTATTGCTATTTAGTATAATTATAGACAAACTTTTATAACATATTTTGATGCAATAAATGAATTCGAATTTAAATTTGAATTGAAGATAGGTTTGCTTGAGATTTGCATCAACCATCTCTGTGTATTTTTATTGACAGATAGATAGAGGCTCACTCTGGGTTTGGTTTTGATAAGAAAGTTGGTAAAGGAAGGAAACTGCATTGTGAGTGAAGAGTAGAAGATGGCCACCCGATAAAAACTAATTCATTGAGGTTAAAGTGCACCTCTACCGAAATTCTTTTATTTAATTTTCTGTGAGGATATGTCAGTCAAAGAAGCGTGAGTGAAAAAAAATAACTTTTTATCGCACAATGGGCGTTCCCCAAGCCTTTTTGTTTCCAACGAATTTGTTTACGACCGGGCTATCAGGGCCTGGAAACCAATCACGTCTATCCAGGAACACACGTGAGACAAATATCAAAACAAATCACAATTTTACATTGAATTGCCGAAATTAACGCGAGGTTCGCCAAACAAAAATGAGTGATAGTTGTTCGGATTCATCCAACATTTCATCAGAAGCTACTACTGATTGTGAGGAAGATATGGCTCCTACTGAATTCGAGGGGGAACCAATGAAGACCCATGCTCGAGCAACGTAGATAGAGCTTCGGATGATGAACTGGCGGTAGGCCTATTATGTGCCGACGATCCTCCAGCCGACAAAACATTCTCACAAGAATATCGCGTAGCATATGCCGAGCGTGATGCATGGCTAAAACGTTATCCGATCGATTCGAAAGGAAGATAGACATCTCAGAATGGTAATCATTTTGTTTATTTAATGAAATCATTTTCAACTGAACTTCTCAATTTTATTGATCTTTTAGTTACGTAGAGTGGCGTTGCCCTCTTGGTGCACTTTGTCACAATAAACCTAATAAAAAGACTGTTACCAATGTAAAAAAGAATAAATACCATTTACAGCTTTCTAAATGTGTGCTCTATATTCCGTTACGACCCAGGTTCAATATTCAAAACAGTTCCCTAGTATTAGCAAGTTGAAAAACCGATTGTTTTCATTGACGAAATCTAGGCCCATCGTCCTTGTGGTGCAACCGAAAGTTACAATTTTTACAGACTTTGAAAATTGATAAATTTCTGTGAATAATCAATACTTCAAAAACAAACCAAATAAGTATTACAAAATTTTCGTCAATTAATTCACAAATTAATGTTTTTTTAATGTCTTACAACACTGGATTGTGTCAAATGGAATTTTTGATCTTTCTCTGGGCATTACGGCATTTCTTTGGGCCATTTCCATTTTCAAATTTTCCTCCAATGTTACACAATGGAAAATATTTTTTAAAAGTTAAGTCTTTATGTTTGGGCTAATGAAATGCAGGTTACTTGGCATTTATATATAGGAGCTATTTACCTTGTTTCACAGATTAATTGTAATTACAGGTGCAAATGTGGACATTGCACAGTCCAGCTGGTTCAAAATGCAGAAGAATGCTTGTGTTGCAAGGAAATTGAGAAGTGCAAGGAGTCCCTAAGAAGTGAGATGGTGCTTGAAGACACATCTAGGGAGCCTTCTTGCATTACAGAACACCCAGGTTTCACATCAGTTTGTCTGGGGAAGTGGAGCCTTAGGATGGCAGCACCATCTTTCAAAACAAAGGATTACACTTCTTACTGGCAAAAAGGAATAGAGAATAAGTATGTTTGCAACAGCAATTTGAATTATTTCATGTCTTCTCAATTGTTTCATCTATTGAAGAATCAATAATATCACATTTATGCAAATTTAAAGACTGTTGAGATTCAAAAGACTAAACACCAAAAAGTACATGGATGTAAATAGACTCTCTGAATCTACAACTCTCAGATTTTAATTTTAGCCTCACCTCCTCTGAATTTTCACAGATTTTAATCAGTTAACTATCTGTTAACATGAGTCAATTTCTTTAACAGGCAATATTATGAAAATGTAAGATTTATTAGAAAGGAACTACATTTATTTGCCAGTCGAGAGTGGCACAACATTTAAAGGAAAATTAAAAAAAGTAGAGCACTACTCCAGAAGATTTGTTATTCCTTTATGGTCACAATCATTTTTTGAAATTGCTTCTAATATACTTTTTATGCTATTTTATAGGTTCCTAAGAAGTATATCCTACAGGGTATTTGTACGAATGGTTTATGGCCGTTTAGGGAAGAAAAGAATTCCTCTACCCTCATGTGTTTATGCTGCAATTCGAAGACAGTTCCCATTAGAATATGGAAAGACATTTTGTGGTTATAAAAATTATGAACAAGATCTGGCATAAAGTTACAAGTTCATTTGAAAAAACTATTTAAATGGACAGTGATGTTGTTTCATCGTAACACTGCACTTCTTGCACATTGGCTTCTGTCTTTGTTTAATTTTGCTTGCTTCTCTGCCAGTACCTAGAAAAATAACTTAAATGTAATTATTTTTGATGGTTGTTTTTAAAAACCAGATGGTGTTGTCTTCCTCATTTTCAAAATCACTTGCTCTCGGATCTTAACTGAGCAGCTGGCCTTTATGGTTTTCTATCAACTTCAACCAGCAATATAAAAGCAAAAATCACTGTTTAGAGGTAGATTTGCAAGCCTTGTTATATTTTCAAAGGAAGAAACATAACAAATTGTTGAAAAGTGAGGAGGTCTAGATAAGAGTAATAAAATTTGTTTCTCACATGACATATAAGTTTTTAAAAACATTTCTATATTGTTAAATCACGAATAATAATCACTCAAATTTCACCAACTGATAAACAAACCAGAGCTACCAAATGTGCAAGCAATAAAATACACACCTTGTGAGGTTGGAGGTACATTAGGCACTTTCATCAATTTTCGTGCATAATGTTTGGCCACTGCCTGATCCTTTGGCTGTTTTTCCAACATTAAATTCATCGGTGGTGGACAGAGTCCCTTTAATTGTTCTCTGGCATTTGCCAACTCGTTTTCACTTGCATTGATAAATACTTTAAACAACTCATCTATGTACCCTAGAATATAAATAAAAAATACAAAACAGGTCTTTAAACTTTTCTTAACTTAAAACCCACTGGAGTTGAAAAAATGGAAGCATTAAAGAAGTAGGGGAAAGTGTTCTTTCTCTCTGATGAAGGCTTGTATTGGTGTTTTATTTCATTTTTTCTCAACATAATTTTGTGCTACTCATTTTCAGTATTTCATCTCCTTTCTGTAGCAAATATTCTACTAGAGTCTTTCAAACAGTATGCAAAGTATCTTATAGTATAGACATGTGTATAATATAGTGTAATACCAACTTAAATAACTCTGAAGGGAATCAAAAAAGCTAAATAGAAACAATATTGTTGTAATGAGAGTTGTTTTACTGAATGATCATAAAACCATGTCAAAAAATGAAGGGATTAGGAGTTAAGCTTGTGATAGTCACAAGTTTGTTGTATCACGTTGACATTTAAACCCTTTTCGAAATCCAAATTATTGGCGTACCAAAGTTCTGTTTCACCACAACATCACGGACAACAGCTTTGCCATTTTTGAATTTTGGCCACAGAACTTTGACTCTTTGATTACCGTCCTTGGTAAATTTCACTTCTCTCTTCAAATTATTGTTGAAGTGAATACATAATAAGCGCCCTTATAAAGCAATTCTCCGGTTTATGTCAAGTTTGTTTATCTCCTCCTTTTAAATTAGACATTCAAAACACTTTTTAATGATGAGTGCGGACGAACCCTTCCTGCATGGCAATCTTCTTGGACTATATATCCGGATCCCACAGATGTAATGGGAAATCGTCATGCTTTCTCACTTCTGTATGAAAACATCTTGTTTCAGCAATGTGAATTCTAAATGCAAAGCCGCCTTTCATGAAGAGGTGTGATAATTCCAGTATCCCTTTCACCTCAAACATGAAAATCTAAATGGTACAAACCGCACCTTTAACGTGTATGCACGTTTCCTGTGTCAACACAGTAATCAATGTTGTTGGTTTGCAATTTTGTGCATAGCCAAAAGATACGAAACACTGATACACTGATCGTGCAGGTAATATCTACTCCCATGATGAGCCAAAGTCTTAAATCACAAAAATTGAACTGAATATTGACAGACATACTTTGATGTTATTATAATATTGTTTCGTCAGAACGAAATTAACATTAGGGGGGCTGCCCAATGTATTCCTGATAATTCAGTACACTATTACAGTATGAAGAAAATAAAGTACAGTTTGACAATTATGGGTGGGGGGCTGAAACCTCCTCCGCCTCCCGGCTACTGATGGCCTTGTACCGTTATCGCTGTTTGTTTCATTTGTTTGTTTTTGATAAAGATGTTTTCTTTGTGAGAGAAACTCGTTTTTTATGTAAGAGAAAGTCAATTTTAACTCCAAGAGCATAAACCTTACTTACATTTTTTTTCCAACTTTTGCAGGCTGGTCCCGAGTCCAATTGATAATTTAGAATAGGTTAAAATGGGTTGACAGTAACCAAGGCTAACTTTAACTAATTCATGACCTTTTTTAGGGCATCAATGTTCCAGATATCGTGCCGATTGAGCACAGACAACCCCAAACCGCATTCGCTTGTTCCTATGAGATTCGAGAGTATGACCATCCGTTGACAAACAGCAGTAGAAGATATGTTGTTGGAGATAGGTTTCACTCCACTGTCCATCCACATAAATCTCATCTATGCTTGTACCACAATATTGACAACAGTGAACAAGCATTTTCCCTAGCAACTAGCTACCAAGAATCCGCGAATAATACGAAAAACAGAAAACGTTTAAGATCAGCTTGCATGCAGAGCTTCCATATGCATTATTTCTACAATGTCCTCATGGAATTCTATCAAAATGAGAAAGTTGTGGAACAGCAAAAGGAAGACCTGGAACGAAGTGAAAGAACTGTTGTAAGAGACGAATATTATAGATTTGTTTTCGAAAGATGAATTAGGAAATTGTTAATTGTTTTCGAAGTCAAAGATTGCCCATGTAAGTCACGTAGTATTCAATCATTGCTCATACCTGCGTTGAAATATAATGATTATATAAAGTCTCTTTGACAATGCAAACAGGCTATTGCACATTAAGACAAGTCATCTGTAGCGGCTTTGACTATCTTCTCGAGTAGAATAATTTAGCTTACAATCTTGGTTTTCACAGATCTTACAGTGGCTTAACTGGCAAACAACGGTTAAGTCCCATGATAAAGGACAATTTGTTCCTTGCCTTGCCATTCGCTGCACCGTCTTTGGAGAAGAGTTCTTAGATGTGCGGAAGGAGGTATAACGTTCTTTTTAATCATTTTGTCAAGGTCCTACCAATGTTTTCAGATTCGCTCGATTTTAATGGTACAACATTTTGACAATTAGCTCATGTTAGCCTTCTGAACCTCGTGGAAATGTCCATGCCGAACATGTTCCTAGCAAACCAATCTTTACATACAACATCATTTCACGATATTTACACGCATCATCTTTGGATTTTACGTGTAAATTTGGATATGGAAGGTAATGTTATCTCCAGTCTCAAACTTGGCAGCTCGAGCAGCGAGGTCGTTTGTAGACATTTTCGCATTGGACTGTTTCAGCCTTTCCGCAAATGAAATTTTCTTTTCCGCTGGTGCATCTCCCCATATAAAAGGTGTAGATTCCACATCCATTTCAAACGATATCGTTGAAAAAAACTTTCCACAGGATAACAAATTTATTAAAGAAGGTGTGCGATAACAATTTAAGATTGTAAACGAGCTAAAACAAGCCAAAAAACCAGCGAGCGGAAGAGCTCGAAAAAGCGCGACCGGTCGCTACGCCCCCGTCAGGTAAGTATGAACTACCATTTTGGCTATTGACAACTCGGCGGCTGCAGAAACAAGCTGACACATGTGGGAAGGCTGTTTCAGTAGTCTCTGAATAGATCGATATGTTGAATATTGAGTGAAGAATGTTCAGTCTGACGAGGAAGATGATCAAGTACTGAAATATAAAACTGATGTACTCACCAACCCTTTGGTGAAGAAAAACATCTTGCATCTTGCTCGATAAGTCGTGAGTCAGCCAACAGTCGTCTGAAATTGAAAATAAGCCTTGACTTTTTGAGCACACAAAGAGGGGTAGCTAGAAATGACTGACTACTAAACAGGCAGGCAAAAAAGCAAGAACAGAAGAACACAAAAACACAATATTTGATTAACAATCATTAATAAAACTATGTCTAGTACAAGGTTTAAACTACTTAACTACTATGGAAAAGCAACCAACTACATACAATGTTAGCTAGCTCCTAGTTAACATTGTAGTTAGCCAGCCATATCAACAATATGGACTTGAATGATTGCAACTGTGAAAATGTGAAAAATCGTTGTTTTCTTGCCAATTGATGAAAAGGGGCTGGGCCACCCATGCCTGTACTGCAATGCCAAGGCAACCCGTGCTTGCGGTGAGGCAAGCCTCATGCCGACAAGCTAGTTCCAAAAATCAGTTTAATATTTGAGCGCCCTCGGGGGCATATCAGATATTAAGCTGATAAGAACAGATTTTTTTTCTTTTTTTTTTTAATTCCTGCCCTCTGATGACACAGTAGACCATCGTTTTTTTTGTTTTGGCGGAGGAGGTGGCTCAAGGTCTCTGCCACCATGCAATATAGTAGATTGGACAGAGGGCAACCTTGTCTTACTCTACGTTTAAGCGTCACTTTCCTAGAGAGGTGGCCATTGTTATTAATTTGGCACGAAACATCTGCATACATAGTTTTAATAAACCCTATGAAATTTGGACCAAACTTCATTTTTTCTGAGACATTGACAAGAAAGTTCCAGTTCACCCTGTCAAATGCTTTTTCCTGGTCAATTTTTATCGGATTCTATATCTATAACCATATTCGGATTCTATAACCAGCAAAAGATTTTCAAAGATTGATCTCCCCAGTACAGAGCATGTATGTTTGATCGCTGTTCAGGAGTGATGAGAGGACTAATTGTAGTCTACTTGCAAATGCTTTTGAACCTATCTTGAAGATGACGCTAAGAAGGGAAATAGGTGTCCAGTTTTTGAGAAGTTCCATGTCTCCTTTTTTATACAAAAGGGTGATTATGGCTAGATGCATAGATTCGGTGAGAAGGCCTCTATTAAAGCAAAAGTTTAGTACTTCGACTAAGGCTTTGCCTACTACCTCCCAGAAAAAATTATAGAATTCTGCTGGTAGCCCATCTGAGCCAGGCGATTTGTCTGATTTCATGTCGGTTAGGGCTTTGTGACATTCGTCTGCGGAAAGTGGTTCCTCAAGTAACAATTTAAGGTTTTCGGGGACAAATTGATCAATAGTATTCAATAGGCTATTCTGTTTTTGGTTATCAATTGGATCAGGGGAATAGAAGGACTCATAGAAGTTAGAAATGCAGCCAAGCAGGTCCCTACTATCCTGTAATACTTAACCATCTGGTGTTTTTAACTTACGAATGACTTTTTTAGATTGACGTGAATTTTCAAGGCTGAAAAAATAGTGCAAAGATTTTTCATTGGATTGGTATTCAAGAGCTTTTTCTGTGGTACGTGAACCATTGATACTGTTAAGGTCTAGTTCTTCAATGTTTCATATTACATGTAAATTCTTCATTTTCGAGGAGGCTGGTGTTGAATTTCCAGGTACCTCTGCCACAAGGTGAGGTGTTTGGTAATTTGAAGAAAAGAGAAGGGGTGTCATGATCAGAAAAAGAAAATACAGTTATCCCACACTGTTTGGTGTTGGCCAAAATTTCAGAAGAAACATAAAATTTATCTAGTTGAGATGAAAAAAGATGATCCTTTCCAGATCGATTTGAGAAAGGTGGTGTCGGCAGGCTCAGAGAAGTAAGTCTCTTGCAAAAATATGATGGACTTTTTCCTACTTTTAAGCCAGTCAATTACATTGGAACACTTAACGTGGTCCTTAAGTCCCTGAACGTTTATGGATAATATATTAATAGCTGCCATCACTCACTGGGGGAGGAAAGTTCCAAAATCATTGCTCATCAGAAAGGGGTGGGTTGCCGAGCTGAACGACCCTTCGACTTCTTTTTGGTAGAGGGCCTTCGCACGGTGAAAATGACATTGTCGTCTTGGAAGGTCCTCTTTGAAGCTGCTGGGAGGCCAGCATCGACAGAGGGGATTGGGAAAGGAGGAAGGGAAGAGGAAAATTTAGAAGAAGAGTTGGTGCCCTGTTGAAAAGACAGGGTATCATAGCAGTTCTTAGTTGGCTGGGCCTCTTCGAGGATGCTGGACAGTTCTTCATGTGTACTGAGGCTGGGTGGCTCTTCGGGTTTACTGGGTGGCTCTTCGGGTTTACTGGGTGGCTCTTCGGGTTTACTGGGTGGCTCTTCAAGGCTCGTTTGCTCCATGTCATTCTGCAGTACTTCTGTAGGCAGGGGTTCTAAGGGACTAGCAGGATCAGGTGTGGTGTCCTCTGAAGCTGCAGTTGCCTCATCCTCTGTGGCTGAGCTTCCAGCCTCGCTGCCAAATATCTCAAAGGCCATTGTGGTCTTCGTTGTTGTCTCGGGAATGGACTCTACATCGTCGGTTCTGCTCGGTCTGGGAAGAATGAGGTATCGCACTGAGCAAGATGGTGCTGAGGCGACCCAAAACCCTGACAGACACTGCTTTCAGGGCAGTCAGCATTAATATGGCTGACACACCCACAGTGATAGCACCTTTTAGCGGAGTAGTTTGCGGCAAGGTGGGTCCTGCTGTCACATTTACGACACGTCATAGGTTGCCCTTCGTGTCGCACAAGCAAACAGGTAGGACCCAGTTGCACATAACTTGGAATAGGCTCGGTCATGATCATTTCAAGAGTCATGACCCCGTTCAACTTATTTGTACCAGGGTGGGTATTCTCCCTAGCAAACGGAACCCGGCCGAACCAACTGAGCCTCCTCTCTACCACTTCGGCCGTATCTCTCCTGGCTTGTTAAAAACCCTCACCCACGCAGGGGGTGGATCTCGGAGCCCTGGTTGCCAAGGGCGACGTGGGTGGCGCATGAAACAAAGGCCAAGGAACCTGTTTTTGTCCGCTTCTGTGGGGAAGGTGACTTCCAGGTCCCCATTTGGGAGCCTCTGGACGTGAGTGGGCTCCAGGAGGTACGTCTCCAACTTGGCAATGAGGGCCTTGCAGTCAATAGCCCCCTTCCCCGAGTGAACGCAGACAGTTCTTGGTCTCGGCCGTCCGATGTTGTTCATGCACAGGCCACCAGACCTGCCAACTATTACTTCCTCAACATGGGCCGCTGCTCTTCCAACTGCAGCAGCGTAATTTCGTTCTTGGCCAGCATAATCTGCAACAGATGGGAGAGCTGGCAACGGGCGGCTCAAGACGTCTGTGGCGCTTGAGGGTCTTTGGTATGGGTAGCGATTACCCTGCGGCACTACTGGGGGGCCATTCTTTCTCAATTTTTGCTGGTGTCGTTCCAGCCTTTCTCTCTCCAGCCCTAAGTTGGTCTTGTCCTCAGAGCTCACCACGTCCTCCTCCTCTAAAACTAGATCTTCACTCCTGTGGGCATTGGCGGATCTACAGGGGGGGCCGGGGGGGCCATGGCCCCCCCCAAACGATTCGACAACGAGAAACTTTGAATGAAAAGACAGTAAATACATTAACTAAACATGTAAATTGATAAGGTAAAAGTTTTTGCATAACAAGAAACTAGTTGTTTATATAACTAACAAACCAAAATTACTTATTACATTACATGAGAACACTAACTGCGAGCATAGAAACATGAGAGCTTTGATTGAGTAATTTTGTGGAAATCAGTGATCCCAACTGATGTCAATATATTCAGAAAAGAATTTGAAAAGGAAGTAGCTATATCGTAGCAAAAACGTTATCGGAGATTTTGCCTTTGAAACGAAAAGCTACATGCGAGCTCATTTTGCGCGAGAAGTGGTGTGTTTCAATGTTGAGTATTGCGATATAATAGCAACGTCATTTTGTCCATCTTTTAACTACTTACAGCTTTAATGGGATTCGTCTTGATTTTAATGCTGCGAATGAGTCAATGAGTTTATCGCTCGTTGGTGTTCTGTCACGGTGAACTTGCAGAAGAAGTAGGGATTCTAATCTCTCCTCAGACATTGTTGACCGAATTGCTGTAAGGGTACTATTCAGTTTAGAAAATAGTCGTTCGGGTTCTGCTGTTGTCACCGGTAGCACAGTGAGAATGTTGAGTAATGTATGCAAATTAGGAAATACATCACCTTGGCAGTCGCCTAAAGCGCCGATAGCGGTATTTGCTACTGTACTTGTTCCACGTGACAGCCATTGCTGCTTCCAAATTTCATACTCTCCTTCAACAATGGACAAGGGGTCTAAAAAGACTCCGTATTTTAGTGCTGCAGGCAAAATATCTTGCCAAGTTGATTCTTTGACGAAACAAGGCAGAATTCTTGTAAGCGTCGCAATCTTCTGCTGATGGGGACCAAATCTTGCTTTCATATCTCCAGCCACTTCATCAAGAAGAGGTAAAAACACATTGATACGATAATAATCAATGGCTTTTTGATTGGCTTCACCTGCATTTGATCTGAACCTGGATTGACTGACTGCTCGAGGAATTGCGTGCATCTCTTCTCTGGTCACTCCAATATTTTCGCCAAGAAGCATTGCCTCTTCAAACATCGAAGCAAACTCATTTTCTTCACCTTTACGCCACGTGTAAAGCTTTGACTGTGTCGCAGAAATCGTCGACATTGCTTTCACAAGATCGCTACCAATTTGTTGCAAAGAACGGGACACTGGGCGAAGTACAGCAGACACTTTCTCGGCCAATACTAGCGCTACAAGGAACTGAGGGTCTTGCAAACTTTTTAACAATCTCCTGGCATCTTTTCTTGTATCTAATGAGTCCCAAGCGAGCATTTCCTCCAAGCACACAACGATGTAAGGCAAAAGCTGTCGTGCAACCAAAACTGATTCATGTCTTTCGACAAATCTTGTTTCACAGAGGGTCACCAACTGCCGTCGCTGAAACTCTTCAATTGATTCTCGTGCTATGACTGCTTGCAAATAGCTGTTTCTTTTCGCATGCTTGAAGAAATTGTTGATATCTTTGATGTCATCCATGCAATGTCTGATTGCTGGTATCTTTGCGGCTCGAGAACAACTTAGATTTAGCGCATGCATGCAGCAGTGGAAGTAGTCAGCGAGTGGCGCAGCAGATTTGATAAAGGAGCAAACACCAACTCGCTCACTGGACATCGATGCAGCACCATCATATCCTTGACCAACGAGGTACTGCAAATCCAACCCAAGCTCACTTATATGGCGGAGTAGAGTCTCCCCTATTGCCTTGCCACATAGCTTAATTTCATTGTGCTCTGTTTCATCTGATTGGTCACTGCTTTTATGTCTGCAATCAGGTCTAAAATTGCGACCGGTTCTTCTTTGATAATTTTTGGCACATTTTTTGTGTCAACGTAACGAATTGCAATGACCAACTGTTCTCGTTTCGCACAATCTTGGGTTTCGTCGGCCATTATTGTCCAGAATTTTGCATTTTTTACATCTCTTACTATGTCCTCTTTGACAATATTTCCTGCACAGGCAATTAGCTCGTTTTGTATCGTTTTGCTTACCAAAGAAGCATTGCGTTTGCAAGATTTCAAGTGATCTTTCAAGTTTGTATCTCCTCCCCGTACTCTCAATCGCAGCAATACCCTGAAGTTTCCATCATTGTGCTTGGGTTCCATCCCAGTTGAATCTACTGGTCCATCATCACGATGGCCTCTAAGCGCAATATTTTGCCTGGCGCATGTTAGAAGGGTGTCGATGATGGGAACCAGCGCAGTCCTGTTTCTTTCAATCTCTTTCTGCCTTTCAATGTTCATTATTGATCGAACGTCCTTCTCAATCCCAGGTGTTGCACGGCTCAAGAACTCCGTGTACTTTATGGCACATGTCTTATGAAAAGATGTTTCTTGGTGACTTGTGAGGGCTCCATTTTTCCCTGTCAAGTCTGAAAA